AATGTAAAAGTAGCATGACAAGGGGAAATTTGCGATGGGTTTTTTTGCATTAATTTTCTTTTTTATATTTCTCTTTTATTTTGTAATGATCTTTGGAATCCACATTAGAAGGTTCCGAAAGGCGTACACCGCCAGACCGGGCCTAGTGTATGGTAGCACGTTCTGTTGAACGCCCGTGTTATTTTATGGATTACTTGAGTTCTGTTTACGCAGGAAAAAGAGAAGAAATTTCTTGGGAGGCATCTAGTATAATTACTGTGGTCTGTTTCTATCCTATTTATTTATTCTTTCCCTCTGGCCCCCACTGCCCTCACGCGGAGGTGTCTGGCGGTTGTGGAGCCTTAACGACTGCCACCGTTTGAGCTCCCTGGGACCCCCTTCATAACAAAACGCGTTTGTCATCTCTTTTTTTTCGTTTTTTGTAATGATGTCTCCTTGTGTGTGTGTGTGTGTGTGTGGTTTGGAGGCCGCAGCCCCCAGTTCGCCCAACGTTGGCGTTGTGTTCATGTATGTGCATACAACTGTGCTGGCCTTCTCCCTTTCTCTTGTTGCTCCCGTTCTTTCGGCATGGCTGTACGCGCGTGCCTGTGCATGGAAGGCACTGTTGTGGTGTTTCTTCCGAGTATGGGGTGCGGGCATTCAATGGCGGCGGCGTCAGAGGGGGCGTCCGCGGCCCAAGCCGTGGGCCGTGGCCCCGGCGATGGGAACACGGGAGCGAAGTGTATATTTGCGGGTGTTGCGGGCAACGACCCCACGGACGGCCAAAGCGCCACGGATAGTTCGCATTGTGTGTTCCGCAACGCACTGTCCTCGGCAGTGGAGCAAATATACTTGATGCAGCGAAGTGGCGTCGTCTCACTTGATGACGGGGAGATGGAGGAAGTCACAGCTCTCACACGTGGGTTGGACAATTTGCAGGCCAACCAAAAAGAGGACCGCTTCAGTTTACTGGGAAGCTGGAGGATCCTGGAGAAGGAAGGCACGGTGAACCTCTTTGGCCAGCGCATTTACGAAGACATGATGGAGCGTGATCCAGAGATCAAGGAACTTCTCTTCGGGATTGAGATCCCCGAACAATCCAAAGTGCTTGCACGGATGTTTGCTACGGCAGTTACCTTCTATGCAAGGCAAGACGTGATGCAGAGAATGTTTTTGGCCATTGGTGCCCAGCACCGTGCGTACGGTGCTGTAACGAGGCACGTTAACCAGATGCAGCAATCATTTTTTCGTGTGTTTCCAGCCTTCGTGGGACAGGACGTGTTTGATCGCTGCCAGGAGGAGTGGCGGCAATTCTGGTTTACCCTGACGGAATGCTTTGAGCGCGGCAGCAGAAGCCAGGAGGGTGACAAATATGGGAAGCTGCGCGAACTCCAAATGGTTAAGCAACTGCAAGAGGACTTTGCCTTGATTAAGCAGCGCCAGGACGGGCTTGAGATGAAGAGGCAGTTCGTTGGCGTCATCTACGGCAAGGCCATTGAGATGGAGCCAACCTTGCACGCTTTACTGCCCTTGTGGATCTTCGAACCAGCAGACGAGTGTTTGAGTTTTTGGTGGAGGTATTTAATTCGCTTGGGGACCTTGAAAAGGCGGGGCAAGCTCTGGAGGAGCTCGGAGCCAGGCACATAGCCTACAACGTGAAAACAGAGGATCTTCGTGCGTTTACGAAGCCTTTCATGTATGCATGCCACCATTTTCTGGAGGATAAGTGGAGTGCGCTAATGGAGTCTCGGTTTCGCTGGGTGTGGGGGATTGTGATGGAGAAAATGTCTGCAGGCATGGAGCGAATGCTCACCGGCACGTCCAGTGTGCGGGCTCCAGATGGGTCGGAGCCATTCTGTTTGCTTTTTGCTTCCATTGAAGGAGGCACTGAGCTGTGGGCCAAAAATGCGGCGGTGATGGGAGCGGCCATCACGAAGTACCACGCCATGGTACGCTCCATCATTGCCTTGTACGACGCCTATGAGGTGAAGGTGATGGGGGACTCCTTCATGATTGCCTGCGTAAACATTGTTGTGGGCATGAAGATCGCGCTGGCGATTCAGCTGGAGTCGATGCGCGCGGTGCCGATTGTCCCAGGCTTCACAATGCTCGAAAATCCACAGGGAGGGGGCGACCCCTCGTGCTGGCGCCGCGAAGGCCTGCGGGTGCGGGTGGCGGTGCAGCACTGCGTGGATGTCGTTGCCTCGTACGACGCCATTCATCAGCGATACGACTATTACGGCCCCAGTGTGAATTGCTGCTCCAGCATGCTGCCGGTGGCCTGCGGTGGCGAGATTTTGCTCTCGAAGGAGTCATTCAGCGCCCTGGAGGCAATGCCGGCGTACAAGGGCGAGCCGTGTCCTTGGGATCTGCGCCAGCTGGAGGTCCACTCCTTTCACACCGATCCAAGAGGCATGGACGAGTTTATCAGCGTGAGTGATGTTGGCCCCGTTGAGCTGCAGGGCATGCCCGAGCCCGTCCACCTGCTGAGCATCACTCCCAAGTCCCTGAGCGGAAGGAGGTTCCGCAATGTAAAAGTAGCATGACAAGGGGAAATTTGCAATGAGTTTTTTTGCATTAATTTCTTTTTTATTTCTCTTTTATTTTGTAATGATAGTTGACAATCAAAATTAGAACGTTCCGAAAGGCGTACGCCGCCAGACCGGGCCTAGTGTATGGTAGCACGTTCTGTTGAACGCCCGTGTTATTTTATGGATTACTTGAGTTCTGTTTGCGCAGGAAAAAGAGAAGAAATTTCTTGGGAGGCATCTAGTATAATTACTGTGGTCTGTTTCTATCCTGTTTATTTATTCTTTCCCTCTGGCCCCCACTGCCCTCACGCGGAGGTGTCTGGCGGTTGTGGAGCCTTAACGACTGCCACCGTTTGAGCTCCCTGGGACCGCCGTCATAACAAAACGCGTTTGTCATCTTTTTTTCGTTTTGAATG